CAATTTCCTCACGTTCTTGGGATGGACATTTTTCGACATCAATTTTGTAAGTAGCATATTTACAGCCATTTAAAAAAATCTTTGTGCATTCCTCAACTGAAGAAATCACACGGGATTGTTCCATTTTCCACCAAAATTGTGCATTAACTTTCCGTGGTACCTATTTACTGTTTACTAAAGTGCGCATGACAAAATGAATTCTTTAGAGAAAACAACCAATGCAAACTTGTGACAAGTGCATTTGGATTTAACAATCTTCGCCCCTCCTGATGCAGGCCAGTTACATGGACGGCCTCAATCTCCATAGCAACCAGATCTCCTACGTCATTATGGCCTTCGCCGGTGGGGAAATTGGCGGGAAACTGCTCATTGCGTTGCTAGGAGGTCGTCTGCCATTCAAGTATCTGTATGTCGTAGTCTCCTCGTGTCTTCTTGCAGCCGTTCCTCTGGGATTGATGACCATTGTCAAAACGTTCGCTGCAATAATGCCGATTGCAGTAGGTGAGTGTTTTAAGTGTTCAATCTCCGTTTTACCTTAAATTTTTCTGTAAATACCTGACTTGAAGGAAAAGCATTGTGATAAGAGGTTTTTATGTATTCATGAAAAGGCTCAGGAATCCCTGACGTAATCGTTGCTGAAGGATTCAAAGTTAACAATCAAATAACATGACTTCCTAATCCAAATGTTAAAATTACTTGCGAGGACCTCTGTGTAATACTTTTCTTGTTGCTATATCTTCGAATATAATTTTTCCCAATTGCACTATGGAAATCACTACCGTGGACCAAATTTCTTACCGAGGACATCTGATTTATTCTTATTGCTCTCTAAGGTCCACGGTCTTCCTACACCCAATCACTGGTATAAAAAAAACCGAAGGGTTTTATATTAAGACTAAAACACCACATCTGTTTCAGCATCTGGTTTTCTGCGATCGGGAGCGTATGGAGTACTGTATGCCGCGGGCGCAGAATTGTTCTTAGAGAAGTATGGACCCAGTACCGTCATGGTTCTAACTTTGGTTCCACCGGGGTTCGGGATCCTAGTCAGTGCTCCTTTATCAGGTACAGTACTGTAATATTGGGAGTTTCGAAACCTCGTTCTCGTCTATGGCTTCGGCTCCATCTCAAGCTGCAGAATTATTCGAGCAAGCTACAATTTCTAAATCAAATGGGTACGAACTAAACTTAAGCAGTTTGACATGACTAGGCTCAGGCTCGAGTTGCAAAATTGTAATAACAATGACAGTAATTTTTGGCACTTTTATTTCACTCTTTTAAGCCTTCCTTGTTTTAACTGAACCAGTTGTTTCTTAATTATAATTTGAACTTGGTCTCGAGTCCATATGCCTGAGTCCGAGACTGAATTTGAGCCCACGTGTTACGGAATCTGACGCAGATAAACAGGGCTCGGTTTTTGACCGGTGTTTTCGACTCTGACTGAAGATCATGAGCTCGAGTTCAAGCCCGACATGAACCACTGATTGTTCTTCTCGATTTGTGTTAGTAACACAAATATTCGTATTTTTGTTCTCTTGCTTTGTTGTCAGGTTCACTGTTTGATGTCACTGGGAGCTATTTCGCCAGTCTTCTCGTCATCGCCGCCATCTTTGTTTGCACTTCGGCGGCATTTCTGTGCATTCCAGTGCGGAGAAAGATTCGGTCAGGTGGTTCATGTTACTTATCCGCATCACGTGATCAGCAACATGAGTTACAATATCCTGAGGGTCAATGCAATCAGGTGACAATGTAAGCTGAACATTAGTGTGCCAAAAAAACTAAATTCAAAGGCAAGGAAGCGAACTCACTGCACAGGATATTTTTACCAAAATATTTTATTCAATCTTTCACAATTATTAGTCGTCATATAAGTAGCTCTGCTTATTTAATTTCACGTTGAGATGGATATAAATAAAACCTGTTTGCATTCCATGTCAATTTCATGAACAGCGCCCCCTAGAATATCGTGATGCCTCCCCCCCCCCCTCCCATTTCCACGGCGGGCAATTTCATGATTTTGCGGTCTGGTCATCCCCCATTTCCACCGCTCGTCGACACGGATTTACGCCACTGATTTTGGGCACACATCCATTATTTTAGTTTGTCTCGATCGTTTTATCGCCATGAATATTCGTCAATAGAATGGACGGTACAGTGCATCACCACGTGATGCACTCTCGTCCAATCAGGTGATTGGACGAGAAAGTAATAAAATGAACAATAAGATGAAAGTAATTACTATCTGCTCGAAGCGAGACTGTGACCAAATGATTTCGGCTTCTGTTCCCCCCCCCCAAAAAAAAGGTATTTCCATTCTTCGATCGCATTTTATATGGTTTCTATTATGTTACACCGAAGTAAATCCTTGTCATTGGGCGGGTCGCGCGGCATTCATTAAAAGCTATAGTCCATCATTTGTAATTAGTGCATTTTGTTCGTTTGAAGCAACAGTATTGTTCAAAATCTAATGAAGGATACTGAGCAACTAACCTGATGAAGTTTCAGCTAAGCTTCAGCTGTACATTCCGAGAAAAGCAGCATTCTAAGATCTCAATTTCAAATCAAAAGTTACTGAATCATGTTTTGAATTGTTTTGAATTGCAGCTATACGCGGCGTCGCGCACTGATCCGACGAATTATAACAACCGCGCGCGCGTGTGCGTCGTTCCAATACTTGTGCGCGCTGCGCTGAATAACAAAACGAACTACTAATTTAAATTTTCCTACGGTGCTTCTTAAGAATCACCGTTGGAAATGCCTTCTTTCGTTGATTACTTCAAAATGACAGCTTCCCAGAAATAATAATTTCACAGGGAGTTTAGTTCCCTTACTATCTTTCAACCAAGTTTGTTTTTCAACAGTAATTACGCCAGTTACTTTTCGGATGGCTGCAAATGATGGACTATAGCTTTAATCAAACCATTGCACGGCCTACGTCATAACCGTGCATGTTGGTTCCATTCACCGTGCATGTTCGTCCCATCCCTTTTGATCTATTGCACGCCGCGCGCACGATAATTGCGCAGCCGCAGCCCGCCAGCCGCCGCTATACGATCTTTGCGCTATTTAAACAATATCATGCGTTAAGGCGGTACAAAATTGCCGTGATGATATTTTTGCATTACATGTGTATTTTAAGAACTATCAGTATTAATTTTCATTGTTGTCAATATTTGACTTATAAACCTTTGTTAGCCTTGAACAAGCTGAAAAACGTGTAGTGGATATGATACAATTTTCTGAGTTTTATTTGTTCTTAAATTTTTATCCTCCAGTCGAATGACAAAGATCTACTTGGATGTTACATTATACAAATATTGAGTGGCTCAGCGTGGAATGGGAGGAATATTATCGCAAGGTAAAATCTGGACTTTTCCATTTCACGAGGCGAAAATTTCACAATTTAAAGCCACTCAATATTTGTTTTATATAACTGACATATAGATCCTTGTCATTTGATATATTTGAACTTTTTTTTTTCAATACAAAACTGGAGGAAAATGTATTCTCTCTTCCAAACCACCCTTTCACGAAAATGTTTGAACCCAACGCTGTAGCGCTGGCTCTTTGGAACAATACGCGCTACGCGCAACGCTGAACGCGCACACCAGCATGCATTTGCACACAAATACCGCGTCGTTATCTTAACTGTTGAAAAGTATACAAATATAACATGGTTTGAGGGTGGACAGTCGATATTCGCTCCCCGAGGTATTGGAAGTTGACAACTACACTCTAAAAAAGAAGTGTACATTTATGTTGTGTAAAACTGTTGTGTAACCTACTTGTGTCAAATGTGTTACACATGAAAAGGGTAAAATAGTACCCAACATTGACTTCAAGTCCCAGCAGCACAGGCAAAAAGTTAAAATCATGGTATTATTACCCAAGTGATGGGTTAAAGAAACTGGATTTACCCCACCACTGTGTAACAATTCTTTCATTGTACACGTCGAAGAGTAGAATTTACCACGACATTAGTAAAATGTTACCACTGTGTGGGGTAAACTGACGCACGTGACAACGTTTACCCAATATTGTGCACGCGTCATCACTCATGTACAAGATGGCCGCCGCTTGTGAGACCTTCAACAATTTGGGGATTTTGAAGACGTGATTTCTTCGTTCCAGGTAAGTCCGTGAAATGAATTTCAGCGTTGTTTCCTCCAATGGGATGCTGATGTATGAGGATATTCAGGGAGATTGGAGAAGTAACATGCTTATTATTTAGACATTTATTTGCAACTTGGACGTCGAAAGCTCTGCCAACCACGATTCCATGCACATGATGCATGCATTTCATGTACCGTGTAGTGAGTGTTTTCAGATCTAGAAACACAGAGTAAAGTGACCGACATTTGGGGAATTGTGTCCAATGAGTGCCCTCCCCCTCTTTTTTGTTTAACAAGTGACCTTGTTTTGAGGGGTTATTTTAAGTGTCATTTGGGGGTTAAAAAAGTGCCCTTTTTTGTACCAGTGGCCGTTACGAGTGACGGTTTAATCCACGCTATAGCGTGCAATATTACGTGGAAACTAATTTAATCATTATTTGTTTTCCCTAAAACAAATCTCTACAACTAGCATTGTTCTAAATTATTTCTGGCGCAGTTCTATGGGGGGCCTGGTCCAACAAATCTCCACTTTTTAGTTATATTTTTAACGAATGGGTGTTCTTCTAGCTTAGTGTTTCTCCCACACTCATCCCTTTATTCTCTCACTGCCCCAAATTATTAACACTATCGGCTAACCATTTTAATCCCCTACAAACTTTACTCTAGAAGCGCGTTTTCTGAAAGTTCAAAGTCTAGTCATCGCTCTAATATTTTTCTTATCATAATTACAGTTCTTAAATCTTACAGTCTTAAAAGCATTATGACTTGTTTTTGAAGTTTATAGATGATCACAATTAAAGTTGTTCCTTTGAATGAGGAAATGAACATTCGTATTAAATGTTCGGCTTTAGTTGAGGCCACATGTATATGCGATAAATACAACGAGAAAATGCCAGCAATAATTTACCTTGAACTGTCAAAGTACTAATATATGTTGTTTTGCACACAAAGTTTGACCTCGCAGTGAGGTTACCGTGATTGTTGGTATCGGGTTTTTTTGTGCGACTATACAAGTTACAGAAACAAACAACTTGCTGTATAAAAAGAGGACCATGAATGCCGCTGTGCTGTTTGGTGTTCAATGAGACAGCTATGAGGGCCGACTTTTGTACTACATGTACCACGAAGAGACAACATCTGACGACTGACGCGAAATCAGCAATGGCCATCCCACAAACTTGTCTCCGACGGTGGCATTGGGTGATCACGCTGGCAACATTCACGCTGTATTTCCTCGTTCTTGGACCGATGTTCAATTTCAGCATATTGTATTTAAGTCTTCAGGGCGAATTCAAGTCCGCTGCGGCAATAACAGGTACAAATCCAATTTTGTTTTCTTTTAACATCCAAGCAGCAAAGCACACAAACTTTAAAACGGTCTCTGCAGAGACCGTTGTTAAATCACTCTCTCTCTTTAAGAGCGTTTTGTTCTGACGAAATGACCCATCAGGCTTGATGATAAAGTATTTAGGTTTGGTCTTAGTATTGAAAAAGGTGTCAAACAAATTTGATTTTGTGTCAGCCTCTGGAATCCTCTCAGACCCCCTTTACACAGGGTTGCGGCTTTTGGGCCTCCCTTGTGCGACTATAAAACTAGTCAGGTCGCCGTTGGAGGCTCAAAGGAGGCGAATGGTTGCCTAGGTCGTTCAAAGGTGATACACAGGATGTTCAGACATCGCCATGGTTGCCAAGGTCGCCGTAAATGTTTGAAAATTTAGATGGATGCACAATGGTCGGCTAATGGTCGCCACGTAATAGATCCGTTCTTTTGCAAATTTCACCATCAGTCTGGGCGATATGCTTCTGCCTCCCTTGTGCCTCCTTTGGCCGACCAATAGCGTGCATTGAACGATGACTGTGGTGGCCGATGTGCCTCCATTTCGGCGTTGGTTGCCGTAGGTTGCACAGGGGAAGCACAGGGGAGGCAGGCAAGTGGCTAAGTGGACGCACAGGTCGCTCGTAGCTCGACATGAAAATGCCCGAAAATTGCAGTTTTGGTGGTTCAACGGAGGCACATAGATCGCTGAAGCAGTTACATAGAAACAGGATTTTTGGGGGGGTTTATGCGACCATTGAGCGTCCTGGCCATTTTGGCCGTTCATAGCTGGTACAAAGGTCGCAGCCCTGTGTAAAGGGGTCTTACTTTAGAAACTGACATATAATTGATATGCGTTAATTTTCTTTGGAGCTGAATTGAAAAAGAAAAAAAGTCAAGTATTTTAGTGTCCAAAAGGGCATCTAATTTGGGACGACGATGTGTCTTGGAGTCGTATGTTCATGTATCTTTTTTAATTATGCAAATTCTTTGTATACATTTTGTGTGCAACATAATTGCCATTGACAGGTTGGTTGGGGTCTTTATCGGCCGCCTTAGCCCGACTCTTCAGTCCCGTCACCGTTCTGCTCGAGCAGAGGCTAAGCAAGAGGGCAGTCACGCTGATTGGGCTCGTGTTGTACTGCACAGGACTGTTGACGACGTCATTCGTACCGGCCCTGGGCTACGCCTACATAACGTACGGAGTCCTATCGGGTGTTGGCGCCAATCTCGCGCTTCATTCATCGCTTGAACTGTTGCTGGAATGGTTTGCGAAAGGCAACTTTGCCCGTGCGAGTGCAATCGCTTTGTTGGGATCCACGGGCGGTATGTGGATGGAATTGAACATTTTTTTATATTTTGACAAATCAGCTTGTGTACAATCTAATTTGACTTAAGTATTCGATTTAAATATCCACTGATTATAAAAAATTAATGAAGAAGAAGATGCCACACTTGTGTTTTTTTTTGGGGGGGGCAATTATCAAATAAAACCGGGTATGGATTTTCAAATATCACAATTCATTGGGAGAAGGTACATCTTTTTTTAAGAAAGTGAATTTCATTTGGTTTCTTCCAACGTGCAGGTTTGCTCGCCTTCAGCCCATTACTGACAGTACTTATAACTAACTATGGGTGGCGCAATGCACTGAGAGTTCTTAGCGGAGGGATATTCGTGGTGGGCGTCGCCGACGGATTGCTTCTGACCGATCCCCCGACTACAGAGAACATCTTGCCGCGGCAAAATAGATCCGAGGACACGGAACAGAATGAACACGATATGCAAAACGTACGGGAACGGGAACGGGAACGGGCCGACGAGAGTTGTGAACAGGAGAACGAGGGAAAGGAAAAGACTGAGCTAGATGACGCCATCGTGTCAAACCACGAGGGTTCAAATACCAAGCACGATTGGTGTGAAGTGTGGAGAATGATGCAAAGTCTGGAGTTATGGTTGTGGTCTGTTGCCAATTTCCTCACGTTTTTGGGATGGACATTTTTCGACATCAATTTTGTAAGTAGCATATTTACAGCCATTTAAAAAATCTTTGTGCATTCCTCAACTAAACAAATCACACGGGATTGTCCATTTTCCACCAAAATTGTGCAATAACTTTCCGTGGTACCTAATTACTGTTTACTAAAGTGTGCATGACAAAATGAATTCTTTAGAGAAAACAACATATGCAAACTTGTGACAAGTGCATTTGGATTTAACAATCTTCGCCCCTCCTGATGCAGGCCAGTTACATGGACGGCCTCAATCTCCATAGCAATCAGATCTCATACGTCATTATGGGCTTCGCCGGTGGGGAAATCGGCGGGAAACTGCTCATTGCGTTGCTAGGAGGTCGTCTGCCGTTCAAGTATCTGTATGTCGTAGTCTCCTCGTGTCTTCTTGCAGCCGTTCCTCTGGGATTGATGACCATTGTCAAAACGTTCGCTGCAATAATGCCGATTGCAATAGGTGAGTGTTTTAAGTGTTCAATCTCCGTTTTATCTTAAATTTTTCTGTAAATACCTGACTTGAAGGAAAAGCATTGTGATAAGAGGTTTTTTTATGTATTTAATAAAAGGCTCAGGAATCCCTGACGTAATCGGTGCTGAAGGATTGAAAGTTAATTAACAATCAAATAACATGACTTTCAAATCAAAATGGCAAAATCACTTGCGAGGACCTCTGTGTAATACTTTTCTTGTTGCTATATCTTGGAATATAATTTTTCCCAATTGCACTATGGAAATCACTACCGTGGACCATTTCTGACAAAATTTCTTACCGAGGACATCTGATTTATTGTTTATTGCTATCTAAGGTCCACGGTCTTCCTACACCCAATCACTGGTATAAAAAAAACCAGAAGGGTTTTATATTAAGACTAAAACACCACATCTGTTTCAGCATCTGGTTTTCTGCGATCGGGAGCGTATGGAGTACTGTATGCCGCGGGCGCAGAATTGTTCTTGGAGAAGTATGGACCAAGTACCGTCATGGTTCTAACTTTGGTTCCACCGGGGTTCGGGATCCTAGTCAGTGCTCCTTTATCAGGTACAGTACTGTAATATTGGGATTTTCGAGACCTCGTTCTCGTCTATGGCTTCGGCTCCATCTCAAGCTGCAGAATTATTCGAGCAAGCTACAATTTCTAAATCAAATGGGTACGAACTAAACTTAGGCAGTTTGACATGACCAGGCTCAGGCTCGAGTCGCAAAATTGTAATAACAATGACAGTAATTTTTGGCACTTTTATTTCACTCTTTTTAGCCTTCCTTGTTTTAACTGAACCAGTTGTTTCTTAATTATAATTTTAACTTGGTCTGGAGTCCATATGCCTGAGTCCGAGACTGAATTTGAGCCCACGTGTTACGGAATCTGACGCAGATAAACAGGGCTCGGTTTGTGACCGGTGTTTTTGACTCTGACTGAAGATCATGAGCTCGAGTTCAAGCCCGACATGATCCACTGATTGTTCCTCTCGATTTGTGTTAGTAACACGTCTATTCGTATTTTTGTTCTCTTGCTTTGTTGTCAGGTTCATTGTTTGATGTCACTGGGAGCTATTTCGCCAGTCTTCTCGTCATCGCCGCCATCTTTGTTTGCACTTCGGCGGCATTTCTGTTCATTCCAGTGCGGAGAAAGATTCGGTCAGGTGGTTCATGTTGCTCATCCGCATCACTTGATTAGCAACATGAGTTACAATATCCTGAGGGTCAATGCAATCAGGTGACAATGTAAGCTGAACATTATAGTATGTCAGAAAACTAAATTCAAAGGCAAGGAAGCGAAGCCACTGCACAGGATTTGTTTTCCCAAAATATTTTATTCAATCTTTCACAATTATTAGTCGTCATATAAGTAGCTCTGCTTATTTAATTTCACGTTGAGATGGATATAAATAAAACCTGTTTGCATTCCATGTCAATTTCATGAACAGCGCCCCCTAGAATATCGTGATGCCTGCCCCCCCCCTCCCATTTCCACGGCGGGCAATTTCATGATTTTGCGGTCTGGTCATCCCCCATTTCCACCGCTCGTCGACACGGATTTACGCCACTGATTTTGGGCACACATCCATTATTTTAGTTTGTCTCGATCGTTTTATCGCCATGAATATTCGTGAATAGAATGGACGGTACAGTGCATCACCACGTGATACACTCTCGTCTAATCAGGAGACAAAATTATGGGAGCGGGGATACATTTCATAATTTGGGGTAGGAAAAAAAGGAATTACAATGATACCATGCCATCAATTCAAACTCTGGTCACTTTTTTTTCTGTGTTATGTTGGCCAAAAAAGTCGAAGCAGTAACTTGAAGTACTTTACTTATATATATTATAAAATACCTCATTCAATGAATGAACATAATGTGCCACCTTTAAAGCGCACGTTGGCATAATTGTACAGGCGCATGTATCGGCTACACTAAAAGTCACGACAAAGCATATTCACTTTCTCTACTTATTGACAACACGAACAATAAAACAGATGCATGTTCAGCTCAGAAAAAAGTCTTGATCGTTTCTCTGATCTGACGGCGGTGCTAATTACGCATATTATACTCAGACACGGAAACTTAAGTCTGGCCACTTGTTTTGGGCTTTATATTTATCAGATCCTTCTTCAAAATACAATAAGACGTGACCTGCCTATGCTGATTGATGTTGCGGGGAATCGAGCTATCCATCCATTTATAAGAATGTCAATCTGCTGTAATATTGAAAGAGTCACTCGTTCACCGCACACAATAGTTAGGCCGCCATGTACGTTTGTTTGCGTTATGCCACGCTTTGATGTTCAAGATGGCGTACCCTTGATAAAGGTCTTTTGACTTATACATTTGCTAATACAAACAGCTTCACGGGCGGATCCAGCATTCAGGAAACATGGGGGTAATGTTAAGGGGGTGTGTGAGGAGGTTGTGACTGCTGGGGATCCGGGGCATACCCCCCCCCCCCCCCTCCGCCCTGAAAATTGTGAAATCTACGATGCTTTTCCCGCCATTCTATAAAACTATTTGAGAATATAGGAACTTTAGAATTCCTTTTCTTTTCTTTGGGCCCCATTTTTACTGGTATCATAAATAAATCAGAAGCTCAGGGGCTGCATCCACCCCCAGATTTGGGCTTGATATGAAATAAATAGAGCGAGTGTTTCTCAAATGCTTTTTTCCGAATTACAAAATTTCAGGATAATAATTTCTCCCATACTAATTCTCTGTAGACACAGTGACACATTAACTGCTGATAATGTGCTTCACTGGAACTTGAGTCTCGACATAGTGCACAAGAAACTGCATACACAACCAAAGTACAAATTTCTTGGGTCACGATTCCAGTATTATTCCAACTGTTTTTCAATATTCCAGTCAAAACTACTTCTTTCTGGGGATGTAAACCCTAACCCAGGGCCAGTTACGCAGGACTATCCCTAGGAAAATCTTGAAGGTAGTCATTGCTCAGAAACTGCTAGCAATCGTTTGGTTTATGACAGATCCTTTCTTTTGCGAGTCCAGCAGGAGAATGTTTACTTACAGTCAGCTCAGAAGCTGCCTGATGTCATATGGACAAACATTAAATATCTTGGATTGTCACGAAAACACAGGTCCCACAGAGGTAAGCGTGCTGGGAAAAGGAAGCAACGCCAAATTCAGGTTGTGTCATCTTGCCGTGTTATCGGTCACAGAGCCAACCAACTGCGCGGCGTCAATCATGAAAACCTACGATACATCCCAAAACAGGACCACAACACAAATGAACTCAATTCCAGAATTTGTGTTTGGAATGCCCACTCCCTCAGGAACAAGTCACTTTCCACATGTGACTACATTGTAGAACAGGCATAGACATCATTGCAATCACTGAGAGTTGGCTGTACGAAGATGATCCCGTTGACATAGGTGAGTGCACTCCTCCTGGATACACTTTCCTCAGTGCAGCGAAGGAGTGGAATAGTCTGCCCTTTTCCATTCAAAATGCCAAATCTCTCGAGCAATTCAAGAAGCTGATCAAGACAAATTTATTCCACCAATAATCAATTCATAGCATTGTCTATGCTACCTGTTTTTATTATTTAACTTAAATTATTTATTTACTTTAATTGTTCATTATTTGTAAGCGCTGTGATTTAGTTTACTAAAAAGAGCGTTCTTAAATGCCGATTATTATAGGTTTTCACGGCCAATTTCACCAAGTTTTCATTCAATTTACCGCCTTGCTCATTCGATTTAGATTGAAATTGAAAGATCACGAAGATCGGCAATCGACAATCAAAAAGAATCATTCTATTTCACTATCCGAGCATTCTATCGCCTTTTAGCTTCACTCGTCCCTATCAAAGATGCATTCATATTAAAAGTATCGCGTTGTTCATTCAATTTCGTCATAACCAGCAGTAAGGGTTGATCGGGCATTCATGTTCATTAATGGGCACACATATTTCACATTTTGTCAAACATCTTTTAAGACTTCATACGTGTCCGTATTCCTTAGCGTAAATCATATTTGATGTCTTCAATCCGTAGATGCCTTTTTTCTTAATTAAAGGGTATGTGCAATGAATTGTTCTCAGGTATTCTTTTTGTGCAACTTTTATGTAAAAAAAACTACACATTTGACAACATTTTTTCGTAAATCTTATTGCAAAAGTGCACTTCTTTAAACATTTCAAAGTTTCCATGCTTTTTCGGACTACCTATGAGGGCGCTGTCACTGTGATGTCATTTCAGGGAGACACTATTCAGTTTAGGGGTTTTTCTTTCAAATTATTCATCCAAAACTTGCTAATTGAAAACATTCGTGTGAAAGCATGCATTAGCATAAAAATGGAGAGGGCAAAAAAAAACACCCTTCAAAATGGAAAATAAAACTTGCGATTAAGGTTAAATGTTACACGAAGATGTATTTTCAAGGTTTGCGTTGAAAACTATTTTTTGCATGGGCCCTTTGAATACGGTAAGTGTTCGGTCAGACAAACGCAAGAAAACATAAATAACGCAAGAGAAGTGTTCCCGATGGTTGCCAAACAGACGTGTCCCGATGTCTTGCACGTCAAAAAAGTGCCAACGTAAAGATACCCCTTGATCAAACGTTTAAACAAGTAGACAAGATCAACAGTGAAAAATAAATTATCTTAGTCACTTTCAATTAATTATTTTGTTACATCTTGTTTCCCTCATATCAGTTAATTTGTAACATTGTAAATTTTACAGTCATCAAGATTTTTTTTTTGGGAGGGGGAATGAACCTTGGAGGAAAATAAGAAAACATATCGATTAAAACATCTTAGTAATTTGAATGACCATACGATGAAAGCGATTGCCCATAAACGAATAAGAAACGAAAAACACGGTTATACGTTATAAGCGCACAGATGTTCGCTTATTTGAATGCGTCAACTGTCAAAAGGTTGCAAAGACTTAATTTAAGACTGCTACAAATTAAGTGTTGAATGCACCAAAACGAAATAGCATGCCCAAAAACGAACACGAACATTCAGAGCAAAATCTTGGCTGCCTAAAAATGAAATTGAATGAACCAGTGTTGGAGCAAAGGCTTTGACCCTCAAGGCCAAGGCCAAGGCCAAGGCCAAGGCCAAGGCTTTGACCCCCAAGGCCAAGGCCAAGGCCAAGGCTTTGACCCTCAAGCCTCGAGGCCAAGGCCAAGGCTTAACCCTCAAGGCCAAGGCCAAGGCCAAGGCCCTGTTTTATGAAATGACCACTGATATAGAACTAATTATAGTCACATGAGTGACACGTCATCACGCAAGGGCGGATCCAGAACACAATTTGGGGGGGGGGGCAAAGAAATTTTGGTCCCCCCCCAAAAAAAGTGGGTCAAAAAATTACGGCTTGGGCTTCGGGGCCCGCCTAAGGGCCCCGAAAAAAATTTGGATTCGAGATATGCTCTGTGGTGCGATTTGAGGCAATTTCTGACCATTTTTACCGATGTTTTTTTGAGGAAAAGATGGTGGTGTACTCATTGCCTGCCTTTATTACGACGTCACATTAAAAAAACCGGTTTCGTGTTTGGGTTTTTTTTTTGGGGGGGGGGGGCAATGGCCCCTTTTGGCCCCCCTGGATCCGCCCTTATCATCACGAATTGCTCGTTACGAAGAACAACATTTCTTTAATTGCAATCAACATGCTCGCATAGGCCTACACCGTTTTATGACTGCACTGTATCTATTAAAGTATAAGTTCAGGTCTTCAATATGGTTTAACTAGACAAAATAATAATTTACTTCTATATTGACACACAATTCTCCCAATTGTATCAAAAGGGGATCCGAGAAACTGATTTGGGAATTTTTTTATTTGCTGGCCCAACATGGTCAGAAATATCAGCATTATCTAAAACAGATACATGCAAATCTTTAGCACTTTTTGTGGGTGCCAAATTAGAATAATAAATTGGATAATTTCTGTGGCTAACTTTGCCAAAAAGATAACGTTTATGTGGCTAACTTTGCCAAAAAGGGAAATAAAATTTGACAGGCTTTTGTCTATAAATTATAAGATAATCTGGGCAGTATTTTCTTGCCGATGAAAATTAAATAAGGTTTGTATTTACTTATAAGTGCTGAAGAACAAATAAAGGAACCACCTGGGTTATCGGTAAAGGTAATAATTAAATGCGATGTCACCGTAGCTCACCTATTAGCTGTATGCTACTGCCAAACCGGTTCACTACGGCAACGAAGCAAAAACTCACGGACTAATATAAATGAAATAAGAAGACTTGAATTGCGGAGCGTGACGATGTAGGCCTGTCTTGCTGCCGGTTGAGCTAACACGGAACTGGGGGCTCGTGCATGGAACCAATGCTGCTTTATAAGACAAAGGACACGCTTGGCTACTCGCGTTGCGTAAGTGCAGCTGCCAATAATAATAAAAGGAATTCAGGCTACTACATCAGCCTCCCCCTAAACTGCTGGAGGCTGAGGATGATTCAACTTATTTCTATAGATATATACAT